AATTATTCGTTAATATGTCGTCTATGTCATCTTTCAATATTGCACCATTTGATGGAAAAATTGATTTTTCGATTTGGCAACAAAAAATGAAAGGACTTTTAGTAACTCAAAAAGTTTCCAAAGCAATTGATGGTGATTATAATACGTTATTGACAGATGAGATAAATGCTGAAATAGATGAATGTGCTTATTCTCTTATTATCTTGAACTTATCTGATTTTGTGATTAGAAATGTAGGAAAACTTGATTCTACGAAAGAATTATAGGAAAGATTAGAAGAGTTTTACATGGAAAAATCTTTGCCAAACAAACTATTTTTACTTGAAAAGTTTTTCCATTTTAAACTTGATTTGAATCGAAACATTGATGAAAATTTAGATGTTTTTACAAAGTTAGTTCAAGATATAAAACAAACATGCGACAAGAATATTGATGAATATACCCCTATTGTTCTCTTGAATGCAATTCCTGACTCTTATTCAGATGTTAAGTCTGCTATCAAATATGGTAGAGATAGTATAAATCTTGAAATTGTCATGAATGGATTAAAAAATAAAGAACTTGACTTGCATGCAAATAAAAGTCATAAACATGCTAGTGATGAAGCGATGTTTGCTAGGGGTAGATCACAAGTTAGAAAAAATACTGAAAACCAAAAGAATAGGGGAAAGAGCAATGAGAGATCTAGATCTAAGTCTAGGCCTAAGAACAGAAAGTGTTACAACTGTGGGGAACCCAACCATTATGCTAAGCAATGTCCATATCCTAAGAACTTTAGAAACCAACAAAATGAGCATGCTAATATGACTATAGGAAATGAATATGCAGGAGATGTTTTCATGGTTAAAGGAAGTTGTGCTGCTGTTAATACTATATGTGCTAACGAGTGGTTGTTTGATTCTGTGTGTACCTTTCACATGTCTCATTTGAAAAACTTGTTTTCAAACTATAAGTCTATTTCGCATGCTAGTGTTTCAATGACAAATGAAAAACTTTGTAAAGTTGTTGGTATAGGTGATATTTGTCTAAAGTTCGACTCTGGCTATGTGTTAACCTTAAGGGATGTTAGGCATGTTCCTGATTTGTGCAATAACTTGATTTCATGTGCTGCACTAGATGAAATTGGATTAATAGGAAAATGGGGAAATGGTATTATGAAAGTCTTAAAAGGTTCATTTGTTGCATTTAAGGTTGTTAGACAAAATAATTTATACGTTGCTTATGCTGAACCAAATTGCATGCCAAATGTGAATTCTGTTGTTAATGATAAAACTGAATTGTGCCATAGACGATTAGGTCACCTTAGTGATAAAGGTCTTGAAATATTAAAGAAAAATGGTTTTCTTGAAAATGATAAGATTACTACTGTGTCTTTTTGTGACTCGTGCGTTTATGGTAAGCAACATAGGGTAAAATTTGATTTGTCTCATGCCCCTAAAGTGCCTAAATATAAGGATGTGCTTGAATATTTGCATGCTGATATGTGGGGTCCTGCTCCTGTTCCTACTCAAGGTGGGAGTCGTTATTTTCTATCGGTAATTGATGAATTTTCACGAAAAGTTTGGATTTTTCTATTAGAACAAAAATCAGATGTTTTTGAAATTTTTCAAGCATGGAAAAAGTTAATAGAAAATCAAACAGGTAAGCGCATTAAATTTTTGAGAACATATAATGGTCTTGAGTTTTGCAACAATTTGCTTGATTCATTATGTGCTAAATCAGGTATAACTAGACATAAGACAGTTCCCTATACACCCCGGCAAAATAGGGTGGCGGAACGAATGAATCGAACTCTTATTGAAAGGGTGAGGAGCATGTTAAACTCCTCGGGCCTTCCAGAGAGTTTTTGGGGGGAAGCTGTGACAACGGTTGCATATTTAATTAATAGGTCTCCCTCTGTGCCACTTGGGGGTAAGTGTCCTGAATCTGTATGGTCGGGTAAGAAACTTGATTTTTCCAATTTGAAAGTATTTGGGTGTACAACATATGCTTTATATAAAGGTGATAAACTTGAACCTAGAGCTGTAAAATGTGTTTTCTTAGGTTATCCTTTAGGAGTAAAAGGATATAGACTATGGTTAAAAGATGAACCAGGTTACAAAGCACTAATCAGTAGAGACGTCACCTTTAATGAAAATGAGATGCTGTCTGAATGTGCCAAATACTGAAATAGATTTGACTTCTAATGAGGTAGAGCCAAATAAGGTAGAGCCAAATAAATTGGAAATTTATGAAAAGTTGCATGACAAATTTGATTCTCATGATAAGTTGCTTGAAAATGACCTACCAAATGCTGAAAATTCTGAATCAGAATATGAGAACATAGAAAACTACCAACTTACGAGAGATAGGACTAAGAGAACTACTAAGCAACCGTCTAAATTTGATGAATACGACTTGACTTCTTATACTTTTAGTGTGTTCGAGACATTAGATGGAAATGAACCTAAGTCCTATGAAGAAGCTTTTAAATTTAAACATGCTGAAAATTGGTTAAATGCAATGCATGATGAAATGAATTCATTGCATGTTAACAATACGTGGATTCTTGTTCCTAGGCTAACTAATTGTTCTATTGTTGACTGCAAATGGATTTTTAAAGTCAAAAATGAAAATGATAATGTTAGATTTAAAGCTAGGTTGGTAGAAAAAGGATTCACTCAAAAAGAAGGGATTGATTACACTGAAATTTTCTCACATGTGGTTAAATATACTGCTGTTAGGATAATGCTTGTCTTAGTTGCTCACTTTAATTGGGAACTAAAACAAATGGATGTTAAAACTGTTTTCCTACATGGTGATCTAAGTGAGAAAATTTACATGAAACAACCTGATGGCTTTGTAGATAAAGGTAAGCCTGATCATGTGTGTCTACTGAAGAAATCTTTGTATAGTTTGAAACAATCACCTAGACAGTAGAACATTAAATTCGATGAGTGCATGAGATCTTTAAAATTCACAAGAAGTAATTTTGACCATTGCTTGTATTTTATGAGATCAAATGATGTTCATGTTTTCTTACTTATTTATGTGGATGACATGTTATTGATTAGTCCTTGTGTGAATACTATCAAGCATGTTAATGACTGTTTGAGCAATAAGTTTGACATAAAATATTTGGGTAATGCAAAGAATATTCTTGGTACGAACATTATTAGAGATAGGGCTGCTTTTACACTTTTGTTAAATCAATCTGCATATATTGAAAAAGTCTTAAAACGATTCTGTATGTCCAATGCAAAGTCAACTAATGTGCCTCTAGCTTCTCATTTTATGCTAAGCAAAGACCAATGTCCTAAATCTGAATCTGATATGAATTATATGAAAGATGTGCCATATTCGAATGCTATAGGCTCTGTGATGTACTTGATGATTTGCACTAGACCTGATATTGCATATTCTGTGAGTTGTTTGAATCGTTTCATGTCTAATCCTGGAACTGAACATTGGAATGCAGTCAAGTGGTTATTTAGATATTTGTGTGGTTCTAGTAACCTAGGGCTAAAATTAGGAAAATGTGTTGAAGGAGTAAAATTGAAAGGTTATGTGGACTCTAATTATGCGAACTATAGAGACAATAGAAAATCTACAACATCCTATGTGTTTACTTTGTGTGGCTCATGCATGAGTTGGAAATCACAACTTCAACATATTGTTGTTCTATCTACTACTGAATCAGAATATGTTGAGATAACTGATGCACTAAAGGAAGTGTTGTGACTAAAAGGTTTGCTTTCTGAAATTGAAATACTGCGTGACAATGTGACAGCCTATTTTGATAGTCAGTCTGGAATTCAATCATGCAAGAATCCTGTTTTTCATGATAGAACCAAACACATAGATGTTATGTTTCATTTTATAAGGGACATGGTTGCAAAGGGGTCAGTTAAGCTTGAAAAAAAATACCTTCTCAATTTAATCATGCTGATATGGGAACCAAATCTCTGCCTGTTTCCAAGCTTCAGTTATGTTTAAATATGTAAAATTTTGATACATTGGATTAGAACCGTGTCTGCTCTTCATTGATAGCATGTATTATTTCTCTGTGATTAATATATGCTCTACAAAATTGACTCCGTGTTAAGATTGCAGGAATAATGGCGATGATGATAGCATGTTCCCACTTTCGATTGCCCTCCAATGTAACCACGAGGGTCGACTAGAAACAAGGTAGAGATTGTTGGTGTGTTTCAGCGTCGACCAACACCCAAACCCAGATCCGACCCGACCCGAACCCGAACCGACCCGGTTTGTCTTTATCTCCCTAAATCAAAACCGATCTCTCCCCCATTCTGTTCGATCTTTTTGAATCTTTCTCTTATCCGTTCCGTCATTCACGATGCTATCCCTATTTCTTCGAAATTGATCGAGTCCGCCATGGGTGTTGATAAGGTAAGGTTGTTCCCTACTCTTTTGGGTTCTATCCATCCGCCTCTCCTCTATATATATGGGTTTGGGATTTTGGGAGAGTGACGAGTTCGCTATTCTGTTCTATTATGTGAGCGACAATCCTACTGCCTTAGCCTATCGACTTCTTTCGTTATTTTTCCGTCCTGATACTGCGTGTGCGAGGAACGCTATAGGGTTCTTGGGTTACTTCGTGTTAGGAACCACCGCAATCGACACCTTTGTGGGTTACCTCGTAGGACAACTTGGAGTTGGCGAAAGAGTGGCTACGATCTGAGCCTACTTTACCGATTGATCTATTTTCTTTTCAATTCTTAATACATATTTTTGTTTTACATTCTTAATCATCAGGTTTTACCCGCACTAATTATTTTGGTTGAGAATCTGTGCAGATCACCCAAGTTCAGGAAGATCAAGAATCTCAACAGAGTCATTAATGATCTAATTTGTTTCTTTTAGCTCTAAATTCCAAATTTTTATTATTTGGATTTTTTGTTTTTCAAAAAAATATTTTTTTTATTACAAAACATTCAATTATACACTATTTTAATATCAAATTAATCATTAATGCAAAATTATTTTAATATCACAAACCCATAAAATGAAACATACTTTAAAAAACTTAAACTTACACAAATCGTTCTTGTTCGCATACTACTATACACAATAACAAACCTAATATAACACCAAACCTCATCTTATATTATATTATAGGGAAATACAAAAATAATGCATCTAAAATTGCATTAATCGAAAAAGGCTACACCCCAACCCCACCCACCGCACGCCGTATCTTTTAAAAACTCTATAATAATAATAATAATAACAATAATAATAATCTTTCCCATTACCCAAACCCCCAATTAATTAATTAATTAAATCCTCAAATCCTTCATTCCTCTTCTCACAAGAAATCATTCCATCCCCTTTCTTCCTTAATCCTCTCCAAAACCCCATCCACAGCAATCTCGAAGGCATCCTTAATCCCTCCGAAGCCATAAATAATCCTCGGAATAATCGACTCCACAATCTTCTCCCTCTTCCTCGCGATCTCCTCCTTACCGTACCTCATCAGCACCTCCTTGACCGTACAGTTCCCGGCTCGCACCTCCTCGTGCTCTATAAAAACCGAGTAGCTCTCCGCCTCCCCCTCGCCCGGCAAAAACCCCTCGTACTGCTCGTAAGCCGTCCGGGTCCAGAAAAAAACCGGCACCGAACCGGCCAGCATACAGTCGAAAACCGACCGCCGGGTGAAGCTGTCCCCGATCGGCTGCAGGCAGAACTCCGACTCCAGAAACGCCGTCACGACCACCGCCGTGTCCGTCGAGCACTCCGCCGCCGAGCAGTCCACCATCCGACACGATGATTCGTTCAGACAGTGCCGGAGGAGGATTCCTCGGAAGTCGTTGCTCACCCAGCCACGTGTCGCCCCGATGAAGGTGAAAAGCTTCGAGCGATTGTGGCCACGCGCGTACCTCTGCCACTCGATTAGGGCTTTGCTGTCCTTTGGGTGGAATCCCGTCGGGTACGGAACTCCGACGTCGTGGTCGTCGGCCGGCGACTTCTCGATGATGAACCGCGTCACTCTCTGCATCTCCGGCATGTTCAGGAACGTTGAGCCCCAAATTTGGTCGGGATCGGTGAGTCGCCGGAAGTCCCATGTGATCCGTCCGATTGCGGTGAAGTGATCTGAGCCGTTGGATTTGCGCCACTGTTTATGTTGGGCTAGCCATCGGAGCGCCGCCGCTGCGCGGCGGTCGCGGAGGGCGGTGTCGTTGTTCCATAAGTGTTTTCCGACGGCGAGTCCGGCGTAGAACGGGATGTAGAACGCCGCCGCGGAGTCCGGGTCCCGGGTGCGGCATTTGTAGTTGAGGATCCGGTGGTGGAAAATCACCTCCAGGCTGAATTGATTTGTACGGTACCAGGATCCGGCGAGGCTCCATGGCAGGACGCGGCGGAGCTCGGCGGCGGGGCGGCCGAAGCCGTGGTTGGTGGCGATTCCGCATTGCCAGTTCCACGGATTCAAATCGGAGCAGTTGTGGAGAACGAGATCTTTGTTGAACTCCGGCGGGAGATTGTAGACGTACACTTTTCCGGCGGGGCAATCCTGATGCGACGTCGTATTAGGTATATTAGCGTTTTCTGTAACGGCGGCTCCGGCGGCGGCGGTGGCGCGTTCAGGGAAACAGATCGGAGAATTGCGTGTGATATAAATGAAGAGAAATTGAATCAAGAGGAAAAGGCCTAAAAGCCATAACCTAGGGTTTGAAGAAATTTGAGACTGGCCGGAGTTCATGGCGAAATTGGGCGGTTTCCGGTGAAATTGGAGCTCCGGCGAGTGTGGCTGAAGCATGAGTGGAGTGAGGAGCTCTGTTTAGACGTAGATGCAGAGGAAGAAGGAGCGAGACAACACCGACAAGCAACCACCATAGCTAAGCCAAGGTTTTATGTAAACGGATCAAAACTGTGAATGTTAAAACGACGTAGTTTTTGTAAGTGATGACTGAGAATGAGATTAAAAGGTGATTGGATGCAGTGATTAAGCAACTTTTCGGGTGATTACGCGATCCACGGGAAAGGAATGGAACTACGCTGACACGTGTCGTGTTTCTACTGGCCCTCATTCATAGAGAGGTCAATAAATGCGGGGGTAGCGACCTATGTTTGTGCCATCATCCCCTATTGATTGCACATGTATTTATTTATTTACTTTCGATTCATAAGTTTTTTATTTCCGTTCATTTTACATAATCTATATTTTTAATATATTTATATATTTGAATTATATTTTAAATTTATAATTTTAATTAAATTATTAAAAATTATTTTTATTTTAATTTATAATTATTTTTATTAATATATTTTTTAATTAATTATTAATTATATTTTATTTAAACTCCAATAAGTATAATAACACGAACAATTTATCTTAGAGAGACTACGCTTTTATATTTAATGTAATTTTCAATTACTGCAGTGAAATGCACTTGCTCGACATAAAATCGTAAAGTTGTGTTCCTTTGTTAATTTTACTGTGTGTTTTTATTATTTAGTTTTTTTATTTAAAAAATATTAAATTAAATAATAATTATTTTTTTATACTATAAATTTATTTTACATTCAAAATATTGTATCAAGCTCTATTTATATTACATCAAATAACTATTCAAATTTAATTTTTTACTATTAAAAATCCAAACCCAAAAACTAAAATAAACAAACAAACACACCCTAAAGAATTACTGGTCGGTTAGACTATGTTTCTTCCGAAATTTTTAGTTTTAAATACTACTTTTAGTGATATATACAGAAAATTGTCTTTAAAATATAAAAATAATACTTCATCCCCCCACAATTTCAAGGAGCTTTTTTGGATTTTTAGTAAATTAAAAGATAATAATACCTTATTAATTAATAAAAATTAGTAAAAATGTATAATTTAATTGTATTGGAATAATGTATTTATAATTTATATAAAAAATATTTTGGTATTAATATATGATTATTTATACTATAATTGAAAATAATACTTTTGAAGAATAAACAAAAATAATAAAAATATTATTTTCAATTGAGACAAAAATATATTATATATAATATCGAAATTTTATTTTTTCAATAAATAAAATATAAATTTTTCGTTATGTAAAAATAATTTTATTTGATTTGATTTAGATATAGCTTTTAGTATAATATGTATTTTTTATTTTTATAATTAGAAATATAAAATAATGAAAAAAAGAAAAAACTCTCTCTCTCCCTCTCAAATTGAATGGCTCATTGTATTAGGACGATATTTAAAGGTAAAAAATTTAATTAATTAATAATATTGAATTATAATATTATTTTATTATATTTAATATGAATAATATATTATTAGTAGTTTTAATATATATGCTTAAAATAAATTTAGAATATATGTCTAAATATTTTAAATATTATATCTCAATCAAATATATGTAATATGTATATCATTTTTATAGAAAATCAATATTATAAATAATACAAATAAATAAAAAATATATTTATTAATTTATAATTAAGATAAAACTAATACCCTTTCCGTCCCAGAAGTAAATATTCATTTGCTTTTTGCACGTAATTTTAGAAATATTATTATTATATTGGGATATAACATAAATAAAGTAGAAATGACTAAAATAACCGTATGTGTGATATAAAAGTAATGACATTTGTGTAATATTTTGTAAGTTGTAAGGGTATTTATAATGTTAGGTAAATAGTACAATTACTAAAAAAGAAAATGGATACTTTGTTATGGGACGGACTAAAATAGAAAAATAAATACTTTGTTATGGGACATATGGGATATTATAAAAAATATAGAAGTTTTAAATGTATATAAATATATTTGTTTTCGAAAAGAGTGATAAAAATATAAGGGTTTTAAGTGGGTGGTACGTAATTTATTATGTTATATAGTATTAAGTTAATTAAATTTATTTATATTTGTTAAGTATGTGTAGATTTAGTAAATTTTACTAAAAATATAAACGTGTCAATTGAAGTAGACGGACAAAAAAAACGAGACAATTGAAATGAGACAGGCGAGTTTTGATTTAAAATTGAAGGATGTGTTATTTTAGTAAGAAAACAAACACGTTTCTTGAAGAGAATTAATATGTACATGTTTATTATTTTTATATTATCTACATAATTTTTAATGTCATATAAAAATAAATATTATTTCAAACTATTTCACAACAAACTATTCATTTTTCCATTTTAGTATTTTTTATAACAAAGTATCCATTACGAGTCTTTTTAAAGGCCATAAATGTTTGCTAATCTGAATATACAGAATTGGGTCTTTCTATTTTTTTGTTCGTTTGTTTTTTTTTTTTTTTTTTGGTCAGGAGGGTTTTAAAGTCCGCTGGTTTTGATTTATCAAAATTACAGTTTTTTAAAAGTTAGAATTTTGATTTATAATTTTTAAATTTGATTCGACATTGCCAGCTTATGGTTTTTTTTTTTTTTTTCAAAACTTTAATTTTAATTATGTTCAAGAAAAACTATTTCGACTCGAATGAATTTTTATTTTAAAAATTATATAAATAATTAGTGAAACATATTTTCGCAAAATTTGAATTTGAATTTAAATTTTTAAATAAATTTTGAAGTTGAGTTTTGTTAAACACCTTTGAAGTTAATTCAAACATATTTTCCCAATCTAATTGGCGCATAGAGATCATTAATTCAACTTAGTGAGTATATTCAAATTACCTCAGTATAATGAAATTAATTTAGTGTGTTTGTTTCGGGGATTGGATTGGATTGGATTTACACTATTCATCCAATTTTTTTCCTCAAAAATATCAAATCAAATACTTATTTTTTATTTTTTATATTATACTAAAAAATCAATTTTACATTCAAAACATCAAATCAACACCTATTTATACAACGTCATACAAATGTTCAAATTCAAAATTTTTACTATTCAAATCCCAACTCAAAAATCCCAACCCCCAAACAAACATTTAGGGTTTGTGTTTACCTCTCTGGCAACTCACCATCACTTCTGCTAGTTGATTTTGTAGAGGCAAGGAAAGCGCTCGAAGGCTAATTGGTCCTTGATTCGGAGTTCGTCGTCTCTTCTCATTGAAAGAAGACAATAAACATTATTATGAAGATAAAATATATTGAAGTATTATATTAAATATTTTTTCATCCTCTAACGGCACAAAGATTGAAGAAGTGTGAAATTAGATTAGGGTTTGTATTCTAATTCTATATATATTAACTATATATTGTATCTTTTTAAAATAATTAAATGAATTTGGATAAAAAAAATATTTATTAGAAAGTTTTTTTTATTAGAGAAAATTTTTACTTTACAAAAATAAAGTTTCATTTTAAAAATAAATAAATAAAGATTATTTTTCTAAATAGAGTTTTAACAACAATTTTTTTAGCTTGTTACCATTAAGTTATAAATGACTATGAAATTATAGAGGATAGTACATGGTTTTTAGCGATAAAATTAAATTTTATAATTAAAAGGCATGTTTTAACTATGAAAATATTTCGTAGTTAAAAAATATTGTAGCTAATTAAATATATTTTTGTAGTGATATATAATAGCAATGAAAATATTATATATATGTGGAGGTGTAGTGACGCTTGAAAATGAAAAAAGACCGAAATATATTGACTTAAATTTTATATATAGTTTAACACAAAGTGGGATAATCATTATATTATTATTAATGAGATCAAAAGCACATACTCTTATTCGTTAGAGCACAAGAAGAACATATGTAAATAGTAAAATGGTGTTTTATGATATTTTATACTTTTATTATGCAATTATAGTGCTCTGATTAAAAAAAAAATAATAATAAAAAATAACATAATAATTAATTCACTTTTGGCGAGTGCACAAATTTTGATTTGCAAAAGTACAAAAATAATCTATACGAACAATAATGATGTGCTTTTTAAGAAATATATTTCATATTCTAATTATGCAATTATAGTGCTCTTACAAAAAACAAGTATAATCAATTCTCTTTTACGAATAGAGACGAGAGATGTTGGATGACTCTCATTTGTAGATAAATAATTAATAGTGTGTATCCTAAAAGCTCTTAAACTTTTAGATGAAACGGTCATTTACATCATTTAATATTGTATAAGAGTCATGGTGCCTGTATTAAGTATTGTTATGTTTAGATTTTCGAGATTATCATCTCGATAGGGGAGTGTTGAAGATGTCCCACATTTGGTATGATGTGGAAACTCTCTTAACATATAAGGGTGAAGGCCACTCTACCTAATACCAATTGGTTTTAGGAAACCCTCATTAGCGTCAATCGCTGCAGTAGTGTCCGAGAGTTGGGCGTCCGTGTTAGGTTTTTACAGGAGCATCAGAATCATGGGTAGAAAGAGGTAGCAGAAAGCGAAATTATCTGATGTGGCTATCCGGGGTAAAAATATTGTTGCAAGTCTAGAAGGCAAACTAGATGGAGAATGCAAGCTTCCATATGAGATCTTGGAATCGATTTTTTCTAGGATAAACTTGAAAGGCAATATCCGCTCATCTATTGTCTGTACAAAGTGGTTATTTGCTGCATTATCTGTCAGGAAGACAAACAAGCATCCATGGCTTATGTATATCCAAAATTCGCACGATTTGTGCGAATTCTACAACCCTACTAACCGCAAATTTAATTACCTTAAAAGTGTCGGCAATGAAGAGCAGCGTTGTCTACTATTGCAAAGATGATTGAATACTCTATTTCTGCCTCATAAGTCGTCGCCATTTCCTCTTCCACCCTTATAATGGAGACTTGCTTAGGCTTACCTAAATTGCATAGGAACAACGAAGTGGCTGCATTTTCTGATACGCCAACTTCGCCTTCTTGTGTCATATTCTCAGTAACGCAAGACTGGGGCAACACCATCTGTATCTGCATTTTCCATCTTACGGATAATGAATGGACGAACTATGAATACGATGTCCA